CACACACACGGAGAGAGAGAGCGATACCCCTCTCTGTGTGTCGCATGGATGGATGGATGGATGGGTGGGTGTATGCAGAGACACATGACAAGATCAACATGTGCGGGTGCTACATGAGAGAACAAATCCCCTTCTACAAGGAGGTTGACGACACTGAAGAAGACGCCAAGGACAACAAGGACACCGATGGCGATGATCCAGACCATCCATTCGCCAGGAGGAACGTCACAACAGTCCCGGGAAGCGCCCAGCTGATACAAGTACGTGAGTCCATTTACTTGTTGGTTGAGGTATCGCCGCGTGTGCGTCATGACTAGATGTGTGTGCATTGCAATGGGTGGATGCCTGCCTGCAGGCCATCCCAAGCAAGTTGATGGGCCCTCGTCAGTGCCAGCTGTTCTGCCAGGCGGAGAACAACTGCACCTACTTCACCGTCGAATACAGCAAGTGTGTAGGCAATCAAGCGTCTTCATCCCACAAACCCAGGAAGGAACCCATGTGCTGATTTGAGTGTGTGTGTGTGTGTGTGCAGGTGTTGGCTGTGGGGCAAGATAGAGAGATGGGAGGACAGCTCCAAGCACACCTCGGGGCCTCGTCTGTGCGCCGAGGACAAACTGGCCGTCGGCCTGCGATGCGACTCAAGTGCGTCAGTGAGGGAGTGAAAGGGAGAGCCAGTGCGAGGGCATGGGCATGGGACCACAATCGATGAGCTGCTGCCTGTGCTATGGCTGCAGGTTTCTATCGTCAGCGGTACACGGCTCTGTCGCTGTTTGTGTTGAAGGTCAAGAACATCCGTGTGCCGTTCGGGGACGGCTGCCCCGTCGAGATCAGCTGGGCCTCCCTCTCGTGGATCCTGGCCGTGGCCGTCCTCCTGCTCGCCACACTCATCATCGCCTGCATCTCTCGTGCGCGATACGAGAAGCGCACCAATGTCGTGCGGGTAATGATCGCCGCTGTGGCGATGTGGGACTTTTTGACTGACTGCGCGTTCGTGGCGCGCTCCTGGGATAAGACGATGCTATGGGTGTTTTGGGTTGGGCTCTTCCATCTGGTGCTGGTGGTTCTGGCGAACTCGCTGGCGCTCATTTGGTTTATCAAGGGTGTGGGGAAGCAGGGGACCTACTTCCGGCGGTGGTTCGACAAGCACCGACGGCACAGCCACATGACCTTCCTGCTCGTCTTCGTGAGCTCGTTTCTGCACCTGGGGGTCCTTCACTTGTTCGCTTCCCGCCTCTTCGGCTGGAGGCTCTTCTCCCTGCAAGTGCACACCCAAAGCCTGCTGACCCTCGAGATGCTAACACTGGCTGAGGACGTGCCACAAGTCGCTCTGCAGGTGAGTCGACACATCCAGGATGGGTGGATACTACACTGACGGCATATGGATGGTGTGTGTGTGTGTGTGTGAAGGTGTCCTATGTGCTGCTGAAGCAGGGTGGGGGCGGCCGTGGGATCCCTTCCGTGACGCTCGTATCGGTGCTCACGTCGGTCTTCCAGGCAAGCTTCGACCCCGACAAACCCACCCCCACACCGACCGACACCAATGCACTCACTGCACGCACAACTTGTGCTGCCTTGCCTGTCCTGTCCTCGATTCAATTCAGGTGTTGAAGGTGTTGTTATTCGGCCTCAAGTACATATTGGCGTCCGTCTTCCCTATCGTGGCCGTCAAAAGCGCCAGATCTGAGGCGGCAATCTCTCTCTCTCAGGGTGCTGACATCGCCAAGGAGACCAGCAAGCAGTCGACGGCCAAGGCAAACGACGAGAACAGCAGTCAACCGTCTGTGGCCAGGGAGAGCCAGGAGGGGCCGTGATGGATAGACTGCAGGCAGGGAGGGAGGGAGGGAGGGGATGTCTGTCCATCCATAGCATATATGGGTGGGTGCATGAGGGTGGATGGATTTTTCCTCATACGCCTATTTCGCCTATTTGTCACTCCTTTGCGCGTGTGTGAGCGTGTCTCTCTCTGTGTGGGCGTTGCGTGTGAACATGGCACGTGCAGGTCGATAGAGAAAGAGGGGAGGGAGGATGGGTGTGGACGTGTGTGCGTCAGCTTCTGAGGATGCAAGTATGGACGGCATGCCATGCATCCTGCTGCTCCATCCGTCAAGTGGATGGGCGTGGAGCACATTTGGGGCCGGCCGGCATGCCTTTCGTGTGAGAGTGATGTGGCTGGTGTTTGTTCAGACGCCTGTTGTGAGGTTGGTTGTGGTCTTTATTCGTCAGTATCGATCGCACCGACTGCTATTCGCATAGACCGACCGATATGCGTGCGTCTTCGTCGTAGCTCGGGTATCTGTCGCTACAAATATTGATTGCCACAGCCGGCCGTTTCGGATGACGTGTGGTTCAAACGAAGAGAGAAAGCAAAAAGTCCCATCCATCCATCCATCCATCGCGCGTGAGTGGCTGGCGACACCCGATGTGCTGCGTGCATCCGATAGAGCGACAGCAACACATCCAGTGAGGCTCACACACGTACGTACACACTCACACAGAGGAAAGGAAGGCAGGCCGACCAGAAGAAGCAACCCACGTGTACGTAGCTAAGGCAGGAAACTCGGGGCAAGCAAGTATCAGAAAACACCGTGCATATGCAGTTATCTAACTGTGGACATATGCAAGTACATTCGTCTTTCCCGAGTTAATCGCTCCCTGGTGCACAGACTCGACAACGGGATCAACCAAACAAATACACAGTCCTCTCCGTCGCGCACAACATGCCATGTGCATATGTGCACATGGCCAGCCCTCGGAAAAAACTGGGTCTTGCGAAAGCACGGCGACGGGGAGAAAAGAATCACTCACCCGGTCGCTCCTCGGGCCCTTTCTTACCTGTACTGACAAAACGTGTGCATGATCCAGGGGCGCATACCATAAACGATATGTATCGGTGTCCAGTCCAGCTATGCATCGGTGTAACCAGGAAAGCCGATATGCATATATGCATTCACACACACAAACACACACGCGTTCACACACACACCAAAGCCCTCCCAGCACCGGCCGCCAAGAGTGGCGGCATTCGGTACTACAGGCTAACTGCACGGTCGGCTGTCATCCCTCCCTTCGGCCCTTGAAAACAGACTGTCTGTCTGCCTCTCTGTGTTGGTCGACATGTCTGTACAGCAAAGGGGGTAGGGCCTCAGACGAAGCGGGAGAAAGACAGGAAATGACACGCACCCATCCCCACACCACACCACACGCACCCGACCCACCCTCCCCCACAGAGAGACACTGCCCTTTTTTTGGTTTTGGGGTTTTTTATTTTTTGTTTTTCATTTTCTGTGACACAATCACGCCGACACCACACACACACACACACAGAGAGAGAGAGAGAGAGAGAGATGGTGAAAGGCCTAGCCCTTTCCCTCTGCAAGGAGATGCGATCAATGCATGTGTGATGGTAGCCGTCGGCCTGTCTGTATGTGGCCACAGCGCAAGCAATGCAAAAATGACGGACGGACGGACGGACGAGCAAATTCGCCTCCTCCATGCATCGATGACACGAATGGTTGTCGGTCGACAGCCAGTCACAGGCGGCAGTACATCGAAAAAGAGGAGAGCACAAGTCTTAGACAGGAGAGAGATCAAAGGAGAAGGATGCATCCATCGGGGCGGCATACATTACAGCGATATGGCCCAGCTAGCTATCAACACAGTCGATTAATTCAGTACGTGTCGGATGGGTGGATCTGCCAATCCAGATTTGGCGGGGCAGATCCACCTACCCTCACCCTCCCTCCCATCAGGTGGGTCACCTCACCCCCCTCTCTCTCCTGACGGATGGATGCTACATGGCATGGCACAGAGAGAGCCGCCGTGTGACACATGCATGGCACAGACTCGCTCTCTCGCAATAGATAGTGCAAAAACCTCTGTCTGTGCTGCCTGTGCATTGTCGTAGCACACACGGCACTCAGGCAATGGCAAGTAAGCATTGATTTGTCTGAAGGAAGGGCAAGTCAGTGCCAAAAAGGCGGCAAAGACCCGTTGTCCGTCGACAACCGGGCAGCCAAGCCGCCGGGTAGGCAGGCAGGCAGGCAGGGAGGGAGCACTAAGGACGGCAAAGCAGATGAGAGAAGAGATAGGAAAGAAGAGAGGGCAGGACTTTGGTCGGTCAGTCGGTCTTGACTGACTGACTGTACAAGGCGAAGTACGCCGTCATGCACGCACTCACACACATTCCCGCAGCATCAAGCAGGTGTCCACGCAAAACCCACCCCGCCCAGCCACCAGCAGCGTGGCAACGTCCACCCGCAGCTACGCATTTACCGATCCATTGATACGTCCGTCCATCAATCAGCCAGCCAGCCAGCCGAATCCCCCCCGACAGACGGCAAGGCTGCTCTGTCGCTACGCAAAACCCTCCTCCCTGCTGGCCATGGGCGGGTGCACACGCCGGCAGCATGTATATTCATTCGCACACTCGACCGACAAGGGAAGGGAAGAGAAAGCCGCGGCGAGAGAGAGAGTGACCATGGTGAGATCTGACCCACGGGCGCACGGCAAAACCCATCCCCATCCCTCCCCTGCGACAGGCAGCTAGGTGGCGCGAGTGAATTAATTAATTGGATGTGTGAAGTGACGAGCGGCCGGCAATCCAAGTCAGTCTTCAGGGCCGTGCCGTCCATCCACCCCTCCCCCTCCCCCTCCCCCTCCCCTGCACACCACACAACACGGCTCACACAGCAAAGCGTACCAAAAGCCGGCTAGGCTGAGAGAGAGAGAGAGGAGAGGAGAGAGAGGGGCTTGCTCGAGGCCGTCCGTCTGTCAGTTTGTCTGAAAACCAGCTGGGCTACCTATCATGTCATTCATGTATACCCATCCGCAGGTATGTAGCCAGTCCACCACACCACATCACACCACACCACACCACATCACATCACAGCCCCCTCCCTCGTCCAGCAAGACAGTATGGACGGACGATGGCGCCACCAGCACATGCACTGCTGCACCTGGCTGTTGGTGCGACTACCCGTATCTGTGTGAGTATGTGTAGGTGTGTGGGTGGGAGTGTCTGCCCGCTTCTCGGTCGCTGAGCGGCAGCCGGGCAGGGGGCAGAGAAAGAGAAGACAGAGCAGAGAAGGGCTCGAGGTCATCACTCACACGGACAGGCACAAGCCAGGCACCCACCGCAGGTTTGTCAGCGCATATATGCAATGCCGACCATTCCATCCATCCACCCATCCATCCATTGCCTGTCTGTGTGTGTCAATCTGCCAGCCCTCACGCTACCTCATGACGGTATGTACCCCGATAATGAGTCGATAGGTATGCACCACCAGATGAAGCAAGTCAGCAGCCAGCTGCACATTCCATGCATTCATGTAGCTAGCTTCCAGAAAACACCACACGCCCCCCGTAGCGCCCGTACCCTGATACAATCACACACACACACACAGACAGGGGGGGAGGGGGGGGATCGGTCCACACGGCCATCTTCATCTGGCTGCTGGGTGCGCACCTGTTGTGTGTGTCGGTGTGTGTGAGTGTATTCGTCACACGCGCCGTTTGGGGGCGCTGTTGGTCTGCGGCGAAGCGGGGTCCACGCGGGTGAGGTGTCTTGCGGGGATCCACTGGAGCTGTCTGGTGGTAGGTATCCACACCTGACCCCTACACCACACACAAAGGAAGCGGCACACAGGAAGGGACACGTGTGACTCGGTGTGAGTGTATTCATGTCGGTCTGTCGCTCACATGGTAACGCGCCCTTGCGCATCCGTCTTGATATTCTTGACCTGCACCGTCATTCTGTTGAGTCTGACGCCACAGGGCCCCGTGACTCCAGCGATTTTGACCTTCTGGTTGATCTCGAACGGCGGCTGGTACGTGCCCTGCTGCTGCTGCTGCTGCGGTGGGCCCTCCTCCGACGACCCCTCGGCTGCGGTGGCGCCGTCAGTCACCTTTGGTGGTGGCTGCTCCGGGCTGCTGGGGCTGCTACTGCTGGTGCAGGAACGAGAGGGTGGGCTGTGGCTGTCAGGAAACGGCTGCTCCTGAGCCGGTGGCACCGTGCCGCTGCTCGTCGGAAGAGGGTGTCGTGCGCTGTTGGTGGTGGTGGCCTTGGGTGGCGCGGCCTTGGGTGGCGCGGCCTTGACCACAGTGCGAGTCGTCGAGTCGCCCAATCGTTGCCCACCACACAACCCACCACCCAAGCCGCCACCGATGCCGCCAGCGGCCGTCAGCGGGGCTGCACTGGGTCCTGCCGTGGGGATGAGGCCCAACAGCGACTGGAACGAGGTGGCGTCGACGGCGTCGCTCGGTCGCTGGGCGACCATGGGGGGGACCGGTACGGCCTCCTGCGATGGCTCCTCTGCCGTGGGGGACCGTGACTGAAGTCCCTCGCTGCTCCCGCCGCTCTCACCCGTCATGTCGGCCTCCCGTGAGGTCGCCAGTGGACGCACCCGAGCGCCCGGGCCTGTTGCTGGCGCCTTGGGCTTGCCACTGCCGTACTCGCCGGTGGTGGTGGGGCCAGTGGCCGGGGGCGTGCCGAGTAGGGCATCGCCGCGCCCGTCCCTGTTGCCGTTCTTCTCACCAAACGCCACACGCGAGCTGACAGCGCCAGGCGACCGCACTGCAGCCGGTGGGCGGTGGTCCATGCTGCTGGGGCCGTCGGGGCGAGGATCGGGCGTCAGAGTACGGTAGTACTGGCCCCTCTCCTCGCGCCGGGCGACGGTGAGGCCGCCGCCGAGTGGGGAAAGGGGTAGGCGGCCGCCAGAGTCGCTGTGGGGGTGCTGCTTGTTGCGCGAGTGCATGGGGGAGGTCAAGGCCGACTCCTTTTTCCCCATGAGCGGCTTGTCTTTTCGCCTGAGGGCGAGGTAGTTGAGCGGGTCTCTCTGCGAGGCCGTCGGCGACGGGTCTCTGTGCGAGCTCTGCACCTCGTCCATATCCTTGAGCAGGGAGGAGCTGCGGCGTTCGGCCTCGTCGCCCTTGCCGACATGCGACACCGCCGTATCTGTCAGCAGGCCGCCAAAGGAGGGGCCAACGGGCGACATGACGGGGCGGTAGCTGAATCTTGACACGGCCTCGGTGAGCATGGTGACGCCGGCGCGCGCCAGCAGTCCTGGCCCGCTCGACTCGTAGGCGGTGTTGTCGGGTTTTGACGGTCAGCATCCCCGGCTGGTGCGTGAGGAGCCGGTTGTGCGGCGAGGTGATGGTGAGTCCGTTGAGGTGGTCGTCGGCGTATACGTGGAGGTTGAGGCCCTCGCCGGTCAGGGAGAACTTCTTGACACCCTCTACTTCACCGACGAAGCTGCAGCCAACGAGATCACAGAGAGGCGCCACACCAGTGATGGATGCTATGGATGCTCCTCTCACTGGTCTGTCTGTCTGTCTGTCTGTCTGTGGGAACGTATGTATGTATGTGTGTATGTGTTGTGTGCTCAGGTACCTGACGGCGTGTGGTGGCAGGCCCGGTATGTCATACACCGTAGCGTGTACCTCGACGATGATGACGTGCCGCTTCTTGACCGCCGGGTCGAGTGCGTCAAGGTTGAGCACCACCTCGGCCATGTCCCCCGCGTTCTTGCCGTGCGTCTGCAGTTCGACGTACTGAGTCAGGTCGTCCTCGAAAACACGAGGCTCCCCATTGAGCACGTACACAACTCTGTGTGAGCCACACACCACACACCACACATCACGCATCACACACATCCATGCGCGCGAACCCGTGTGTTTCCACCCCGTCTGTACTGGCTTACATACCTCAGTTTCCCCGTCGGCAGCTGGACGAACCCCTCGGCGGGCACCTTCTCCTGCTGGGTGAGGGCCTGGACGGGGCCACAGTGTGTCGCCAGGTTGAGGAGCAGCACCTTGGTGTCCAGAGTGGATGACACAGGGTTTCAAACCCGTAACCCCTGAACCATAGAGCGCGCCACTTGACCCCTTCCCCTCCGCCGGGTGTCACATCTGCCTACCTCGCGGCACTGACAATATGCCGAATCACTCTCCTGACGGCGGCTGGCCTGCGTTGCTCAGGGATGTCGGCAAAGTGGGACAGCTCGGGCAGAGGCCATTCAAGCGAACGCAAGGCCTCGCACGAGCCGTCCTCGTTGAAGATCTTGACACATCCGTAGAGATCATGCCGGATCTCACTGGTGCTGACGTCGATCTCACTGGTGCTGACGTCCAGCGTCAGGTGGCTGCCGCTGGCAGGAAACTGCCCTCCCGAGATGACTCCATACCGGCAGTTCTGAGGGAGGGGAGGCAGGGCGCCCAACGACGAGATCCCTCTGCTCTTAAAGATAGGCCGCATCTTGTTCACAGAGAGGGGTTCACTTTTTTTTCTCCACATTTTGGCAGCAGGAGGATTCACGGATTTGCGAGCTCGAAGACCCTGGGGGCGAGTCTTGGCCAAAGACGCCCCAGTAAAGACATGATGAGCGTCAGAAGACGGTAGAGACGAAGGTCAGCTCTTCGTACACACGGTTCACATGGACACGCACGCATGCATTTTGCCAAGTCGTTTGCAAACGCAGATCGTGCTGGCAGCGGCAGGCATGAGAGATGAAGGACCACACACAGGTCAGCTTGCGATAACCAGACACAGACCAGCTTGGTACGTACGGTATCACGAGTATCAAATGGAGAGCGATGGCGAGGATGTATGTGTGGCCGCACGATCAAAAAGCGATCGTCATGGTTGCGCATCTGCGGGCGCGGGCAAATCGATGCGATGACAGGGCCGGGCCAGTCAGTACAGCACAGGGCCAGTCAGGTCAGTCATTGCTGTCAGTCAGTCAGTCAGGTTGGCAAGTTACGTCCACCATATATAGTACACACAGGTGGGTCTACAGGTAGGCGATGTGGGTGTGGTAAGTGTGCAGCCAGGACATACACGCATTCGCAATCGCAGCGGCGGAGGTTGGAAAACGCGGCCAGCGACGAAAAACAGCGGCGGAAAGAGCAGTGCTCCTGCACAGCAGGAGAAGGCTGTGCATCGGGTGCTCCTGCACAGCAGGAGAAGGCTGTGCATCGGGTGGACATTTGTGTGCTCGTGGTGCGCATGTCTGGTGTGCAGAGGGCCGCACCAAAACCGCCAAAGCAGGAGAGGAGCAGTGAGTGAGTCTGTGGGTGAGTAAGGTAAGCCTATACATCCATACAGCAGCACATGGTGAGTGGAGTGAGCAAGTCGCATGAACCGTGGACCAAAAATACTACAATGAATACGCAGTCAGTCAGTCAGTCAGTAAGTCGACACGGATGCACACACGCATCTCACGCACTGCAGCCAGCCGCACTCACCCAGGCCCCTGCCCGACACCATCCATCCATCCACCCACCCTCCACCAACCGACCTCCCGCCCCCGACAAGCACCACCACCACCACCACCAACCGATCGCTCCCGATGCCGATGTCGCGCCGCTCCGCTGCCCGACGTATCGACCACAAGAGATGGGAACTGAGCCATCCCCTCCCTTGACAGCGGTCTATGTGGTGATGCCCGTGACGGAACAACCCGCTGGCCGGTGAAGAAGAGGTGGATGTCTCCCGTGTAGGTGCGCACTCGCCGGTCGCCGGAGGAGTCGCGGACAGAGACGATGGGCATGTCGGCGAAGGGCTGCCCAGCTACGCCAGAGGCAGGCTCCTGGCGAAAGGCCAGCTGGTCGGGCACCTGATCGACCATTAAGTCGCTCGAATCGCCCGCAACGGTCGCCGCTCCCGGGGGATTCTCGTGAATGAACGCCTCCAGTATGTATGTACTCGCCCGCCTCGTTGACACCAAGCCGAAGAGTTTAGCTGCTTGCGTGTGCCGAACAGACCGAGGTTGAGGTGCAGCCGCCGCCGACGGCAGGCTTGAGCAGCGGCATGACGTAGCCCCCACTAATGCCGGT